GGCGGCAAAATAGATAAAAACTATTTATCAGGGTATGCAGATCGTTTCACGAGGGTTCATACTTTTGACATTGACACGTCATAACTTGAAAAAAAAAGGGTTGTCGTAGATTAATTCATATGACGCATTAGATTTTTTTGACAAATTAAAATGCATAACTTCTGGTTTAAGAACCCTGCCAGTAATTTTGGTCAAAGACTAGGTTATAGAAAAAATTGACTGTAAAGTAACCGCCGAACAATTTTCGATGCATACGTCATCGGTCACCTGATGGAAGATGTTAAAAAACCGCCCTATTGAATGTTGATAAATTCATAAAATTTTCTCATATTGGTTTGCGTATGTCACTTAATTAGACTATCCAAGATGCTGTCAAACTTAAATAAAAATGTCCGCCAAGAGGCACACAAACCCTTTGTTTGATTGTCAAAGTCACGTGTTTTGGATAGGCTAATTAGGCACTAGCTGACGTCACATACATAACCTCACTTTCGTTGAGGGGACAAACAAACCATTTAAAGCAGTGGTTCCCAAAGTGGGCGATAACGCTCCCCAGTGGGCGCTAGAACCATCTCGGGGGGCGGTAAAGAGCTCAGCTGATTTTCGGGGGCGGGAAGCATAAATTAGTGGGCGGTGGAAAATAAACGAACAGATCAGAAAAAAAATTAAAATTAAATAGTAAATGGCTTTTTACGGAAATTACTCTTCAATACTTTAAAGATAAGGCTGATAGTCAGTCTATGTCTATGCCTTTCGGAGTCAATTTTGGCAAACTTCCAATTATGAACCCAACCCGAGAGTTCCGACGCAAATCCCGAAGCCCGCACGCACCTCAACTAAGGGTGGGTATTATAAAACTGCTTTGACAGTTAACTTGAAGTTAACTTTTTGAATTACATGTAATTCCAGAAGTTAACTTTAAGTTAACTCTCAAAGTAGTTTTATAATACCCGCCCTAAGTCTGCTATGACTTGCTTAAAATGCGATACCGCTAATACACGCATTGATCAGCAGCAGCTGCATTAAAATTATTGTATTTTACTTATAAATAACTTCAAAAAGCTCAAAAATAGGCTCCGTGAAGTTAGCCCCCCACATTCGAATTTTCTAACAAAATTGCAACTACTTTAAACTGTGCTGTTCTGATACCAAATTTATAGGAAAAACAAGATGAGGGGTAAACTTTTTGGAAATCCGATCAAACAAAAATGGATTTTTATGCAATCGGAATAAGTGTACTGAACTGTGTTGTATCAGGTTTTTCTCGTTTTTTCCATATTCGGTAATTTCCAAGCAAAATCCTATTGGGGGACTAACTTAACGCTCAGCCCCCCAAATTTTGGAAATAACATGAAACAAAAATGGACTCTTAGCTAACTTGACACTCAGCCCCCCCCCTCACCAAAAACAAAAAAAATTTGTAAATCAGATCAAACAAAAAAGGATTTTTATGCAATCTGAAGTGTGCTGGACTGTACTGTATCAGGTTTTTCTCAAAATTTCTATATTCGGTAATTTTTCGTCAAAATCCTACTGGGGGGGCTAACTTGACGCTCAGCCTCCCAAAATTTTGGAAATAAGATGAAACAAAAATGGGCTCTTATGCAATCTGAAGTGTGCTGAATTGTGCTGTATCAGGTTTTTCTCAAAATTTCCATATTGGGTCAGTTTCTGACAAAATCCTACTGAGGAGGTAACTTGACGCTCAGTCCCTCGCCAAGAAAATGCACGACCATTAAAATTTTCCAAAAAAATGGCGCCGCTTCAATATTTTGGATCCCTGCCAAGGGGGGCGTTGGATAATTCCCATTTTCTAAAAGTGGGCGGTAGGTTAAAAAAGTTTGGGAACCACTAATTTAAAGGATCATTTATACACACAGGCGCTAGCTTGTCACCAATGACATAACGTGATTTTCGATAGGGGGACAAACATGACATTGAGGTTATGAGACGTCAACTAGCACCTAATTGTAGTTCATGCTTGTTTAAACTAAAGCTGTAAATTAAATTAAATTCGAATTTTACTATCGCCATGTTGGTTACATTGCGTCGTATTCAGCGCGGTTGCCAATTCCTGCTTTATACGGTCCCGAATTTTTTAATATTTTGTTGTGGTTATGTTTTGAAAAACGCAAGTTTAGATTTTGTTTCACTGTTTCATTTATAAAGTTTTCTTTATTACTCAAGTACCTAATAAACAATATTAGTTTTACTTCCTTCCATCACAATCTGGCAACGCTGCCCCCGTTTTACTTCAATAGGCTATGACGTGCATCGGAAATTCTTTGGCGTTTACTATAGGTCGATTTGGTTCCCGGTGGGACACCCCCAAGGTGGACACCCCAAGGTTCCTAAAGTTGATAGGTTGTCTGGTGTTTTCGAACGCTTCCCATTTAATTTACATTGCTGTCAGTCAAATTCGAATCAAATTTTGTATCCGACATTTTTCAAGAATTGGGCCACTGGTAATGGGTAACTTGATGACGCCATTTGGGGTGCCTTATGGAGCCGAGATTTACATTATGTTGAGGCACCCCAGATGACGTCATAAAAGCTATCAGGCGACCTACCTATCTCAAACAATCTTGGGGATACCCTATGTATGTGTATTTTGAACACTAAACTTTTGTGTAGAGCAAAAATAGAACAGAGAAGAACTCCTAGACACTTTGAAAGAAATAAACAGAGAAGTGACATTAATAGATTTATTAGAAAATATAAAAACGATAAAGTACTGCAAGCAATCGACAAAAACAAAAGTATGACGATAATGAGAAGGAAATATGCCAATGGGAAGAAAGAGATTTTCAAGATCTAAGATGAAACTGGTAGTAAAACAAATAATAGACAAGAAATACTACGTATTGTCAGAGAAATCAGAACTGTTTGGACTGCGTAACTAGAACAAAGAAGAGTGAGGAATCAGTATTCATCGAGGTATTCAGAGGTTATTCCTGACATTTCTGTAGAGGAGATACCAGTGTGTTTGAAAAGATAAAGAACTACAAAGCACCAGGTGAGAACGGTAAACCAACAGAGACATTCAGGAACTTTTCAACCTGTGCATCCACAATCAAAACATCTCGGATGACTGGAACAGCGCAATCATGATCTTTTCACACAAGAAACATAAATATGGAATATGGGAGACAGATTGGAAACCATACCACTTTCAAATCCAAGCGGCAGTAATGACGTAAACAACTGGTAATTTTCATTACAACCTATCAAATGTCCTGCTTACATGAGCACTGGTCCCCGTTTTAACCAATAGGAGGCCTGGGTTACCAGCTGGTGTTTAAGGTTATTTAATGTCATTACTATTCATGACTATTCTATGGTCATTACTGCCACTTGGATTTGGAAATGGTATAGACTAAGACCTTTATCAAATTATGAAACAAGCTTACTTTTGATCTTACTCTACAGCTCAATTGACCACCTCCAGTATCAGTAAGATTTAAAAAAAAAGCCAAGAAGAATACTTAATGCTTGACTTGAAGACGACATTAAATTAAACGATCAATTCAAATTCAAAGTTATTACCTCACAGACAGTAGACCAATACACAGGTCCAGACATATTATAGGCAAATTCGTCCACGGTTTCTGTGGTGAAAACCTCAGGTAAACTGAAACTGTAGGTGCGGTCGCCGTAATCACCAGTGTCGAACAGGTAGGTCGCTCCACCTATAGCCACGTGGTCCTGCAAATTCATTCCTACTCCTGGCGAATCTACTATTGTGTCTATACCGACTTCTTCTAAGTGGTCCCTGGGTCCTATTCCAGCTAAAAACAAATTGTTACCAGAGTCTTAATTGAATGGTGCATGGAGCAACTTACATAACATCAATAGTTGCGGTGAAGCAAGAGCTCCGGCACTTAAAATAACCTCTCTATCACTGTACACTGTTTTTTTGATGCCCATTTTCTTGAACACTACCCCATAAGCCTCATTGTAGTCGTTGATGAGGATTTTTTCCACGTGCGACATAAGACTGACGTGAAGATTGGGTCTGTCATATATTGATCTAAAAACCAATCATTCCATTTCTATTGAGGCCATGGAAATTTTAGATATTACCTTATGTAGGCCTTAGCAGTACTGCACCGTAGGCCATCCCGTAAAGTACCAGGCGTTAGAGTGAATCCTGTTTGGTACTGGCCGTTAATGTCACGTATTTCGTATCCAGCTTCTTGGGCTGCGCTCATGAACCAATCAGCCATTGGAGATCGATACCTTTAATAAAAATATTAGAGCTATGATTTGTCAACTGATTCGATCTTTGGAGCAATTTGCTCTTACTCTACCTCCATCTCTTTTTGCTGCATTAAAGCTAAATATGTTTGTCTCAAAAAATTTAAGCAAAAGCATATGTGCTCGTATTTTATGCATATGACCAAAACACTCATAAAGACACTGGAGGCAAAGACAGCTTACAATTGTCACAACATCTAGAGGAAGAGGACAACCAAATACATGAATTGAGCTGAATATTGAGTTTCTCACTGGAAACTACACAATTTTCATTGATCAGTTTTTACTATTGATGCTCCTTTAACAATGATAACAACATACCTTAGCATACAAAAACATAACATCACAAAACTAAAATATTTTGTGCACAGTTACAAGATAGTGTAATTCAAGTGAACAAACCTCGTTCTAAAAATACTGCAGAATGCACTCTTATTGGATACTTTTCTTACCTGAAATATTCAACACTCAAATACCCATCAGTTCCATGGTAAGGATCATTTCTATACTTTTCAATCCTCATATTTTCGGCCTTTTTAAAAAAAGGCAAAACTTCTTCGTAGCTCCAACCAGGATTCCCAATTGCGGCCCATCTAAAATTAACAACATAAAGCCTTTTGCATATGGATATAAATATACCTACCTATCGTAATCCCTTCTATTGCCTCTAACATACATCATAGCATTCAAAACTGAACAACCGCCCAGTACTCTGCCTCTCGGCCATCTACACTTACCTTTGTTCATGGCTTGGCAGTATTTTTCCCCTGGCTCTGTCTAAAATTATTATTAGTTATAAATTTCCCAAAAAATAATTCTTACTTTATATTGCCAATCAAATGGCGTTTGTTGTAATGCTGCAAACAGAATGGGCATATCGGTAAGGCTAATTTCGTCAGGTCCCGCTTCCAAAAGTAACACGTCCCAATATGGATTTTCTGATAGTCTGTTTGCCAGGACTGTTCCTGCACTGCCTCCTCCGACTATTATGAAATCGTAGCTGTCTTTTATTTTGGCATAGGGTGTGTCTTCTATACGATGTTCTCTATTTTTGAACAATGAATGTATTACAGTGGGAAGCTATGGTGAAATGTGCTTACTTGTCAAATATATCTTTTCTTTCCTTTAAGGTACATGAATAGAGGGCTAGAAAAAATCCCAAACCAGGCCCCAGGGTTAGTGCCATTCTTGTAAGTGAATACAAGTTCATTTGTTCAGCTGTCTCCATTTTTTCTGTTTTATCTGAAAATCGCATAATTATCATTCAGAATCTAATAGTTCACAAGGCATATTCATGAATTTCCAACTTACCTTTAACAATATTCACAAAATAATTTCAAACACTACTGGTTAGTGCTTTGATAAGTAGAAACACCTCATTTTGTTTTTCTTTTACACTATTATAGACACATACCTATTATTTAGGTTAGTAGAATTCAATTTGGAAGTAGAATTTGCTGAGTCTACATTATTTGATAATCGTTATTATTGTTTTTAATTAATCGCTTATACTGGGTGAAAAAAATAAATCATAAAACACACAACCAAAATTTCAAAAATAAATAATGCATTATTTTCCCTTGAATACCGCAAATCTTAAATAATGACTAAACGACTATTTGCTATGTATAGGTTTTGCTATGAGTTCTGTTTAAAATTTCAAAATATTAGTTTCACAATCATTGAACGATTTTTTCTATAGCCCTCATTCTGCACCAAGAATATACAATCAAGGATATACAAGCTGGACTAACCTACTAGACACATAGGGAGTAATAAGACCCAGATGCATGAATTTTAATAACATGCTCATGTAACTCGATATACAGTAACATGGGTAATATGGGTATCAGTCAACTGATCTCATTGAAGCCTATGTGTCTAGTAGTCTGGTCCTGTCTGTATTATTAAGAACCACTTGATTTTGTACGTGCATATCTTCTAAAATTATCTTATCTTCCAAAAGGTGCGAATATCTTGAAAGCATTCACATAATGCAATTAAAAAATATACAATTTATTTCTAAAACAATAAACAATAAATCTATTTACATTTTATTAAAAATAAATCAGTGCAGTCTAAGTATAAAAATATCAATAAATAACCAATCTCATTCAACCTTAACACATTTCACTATCCACTAAATTCCTTCCAAATTCCTGTTATAAATCCTATTCACTCTCATAGTCTTCAACCAAAATTCCTTAATCAAATCCGAACCCTTTTCGCCAATCATTATCACTGGAGCGTTCGTATTTCCGCTCACCAAATTCGGCATAATGCTTGCGTCGATCACCCTCAAACCTTTTATGCCGTAGACCCTCAATTGCGGATCCACCACTGCCTCTTGGTCCCAATATGGTCCCATTTTAGCGGTCCCTACGGGATGGTAAATTGTGGCCGAATATAACCTGATCATGCACTCGAAGTATTTGTCTGAATATTTTTGTATGTGAGTGCATTGAGGGAATTCGTGAAGTTTACTTTTGTAGCTCTGGAAAGCTGGCGTTTGACTTACAGCCACAGCAATTTTAGCTCCTTCAATTAATGTCTTCATATCGAAATCGTCGAAGAAGTAATTAGGATAAATTAGAGGTGGTTCAAACGGTTTTCTGCTTCTCAATTTAATAAAACCTTTGCTTTTTGGCCTTAACAGCATAGGAATAATGCTCCAAGCATCTTGACCTTCAATAGGCTTAAAAACCCTATCATAGAAGGCATCTGAAAGGCCGTGGGCTTTTTTCAGTTGAGCTCCTTTGTCTGAATGAGGAGCACCGCTCACGAAATGAAATTCTATATCTGGAAAATCATCTGAAGCATTAGCGTATTTAGTGTTTACAAATGCTAGTCCTTCAACACCTCCCATAATGGTTAAAGGTCCTCCACCCCAAATAGCGTATTGCATTAATGGTCCAGCAGCATAAACTCTGTCCAAAGTAATCGAATCTTCTTTGTCTATTATAAATGTCAATCCTCCAAGCCCGACGTGGTCTTGAAGGTTTGATCCCACTTGTGAATCTTGTATAACAGGAATTTTATGCTTTTCTAACTCAGCCTTAGGTCCAATTCCGCTCAGCATTAAAATTTGAGGCGAATTAACAGCTCCAGCTGATAAAATAACTTCTCTCTCGGCTCTGATCCGATGTATTTTGCCATCTCTGACGAATTCGATGCCGAAAGCCACTTTGGTGGTCGGGTCTATGAGAACTCTTGTCACGTGCGATTTCATCGCTACGTGTAAGTTTGGGCGCAGCCTCACTGGTCTCAGAAAAGCTTTTCCTGTTGAGCACCTGGATCCGTGTCGGACCGTTCCTTGGGCCATCATGAAGCCGGTTTGGAATTCTCCGTTGATGTCTCTGTTTTTGTAGCCTAGTTGTTTGCCGGCTTCTACGAATGCTGCAACCTGAAATGGTTTTTTTTTTAGTGCATGGATATGAATTTTTTAATTCTCACAGTGTCACATCCTCTGTACTGCTTTATACAGGGCTCTCATCTCAAAAGTTGCCAGCCACGTTATCTGCGTAAAGAGGCATATTTGTGTAAATTGCCGAAACACGTTAACAAAGGGCCTTGCCCAAAGTATACGGAAATTGTGTTTATGTCAGAATTGGCTGAATTTTGTATATAATGTAGATCACGCCTTCCTGATTAAAAGTTACCATTGCACCAATCCTGAAAAATTATCCCTTTTTGAGAAAATTAGTTTCATAGGTAGCAAGTAAAACGCTTGAACATTGTAATGAACGTACATATAAATGAGTGGATCATTGCAGAATTTATGGGTGGACCTCTGCGGGACGAGCGCAGCGAGTTCCGCAGCCATCTAATCACCAATATACTTGAACTGTTCAAATAAGACACTCACCTGAAACGTGTAGTGGGTCCACCCATAAGTTCCACAACAATCCATTCGTTTGTACTTGAATAACTTGTCATAATATATTATTAGTTTGGTAAAGTAACATTACTTATTCCTGTTAAAAGGCAAATTGATAAAAAGTGGATAATCTTACAAATTCTGACTTTATATAATAAGTTATTGTTCAAGTACAAATAAGTGGATTGTTGCGGAACTTATGGGTGGACATCTAATCGCCAATATACTGTTGAACTGTTCAAGTAAGACATTCACCTGAAACGTGTAATTTTTCAACTAATGAGAATAACGCACATTTGAGTGAGTCAGTTTAGTATCGTAATTAAACAACATATTGATGAATAGATGGCTGCGGAACTCGCTGCGCTCGTCCCGCAGAGGTCCACCCATAAGTTCCGAAATAATTCACTCATTTGTACTTGAATAACTTGTCACATTATGTTACTAGTTTGGTAAAGTAACATTACTAATTCCTGTTGAATGGCAAATTGACAAAAAGTGAATAATCATAATTTTACAAATTTTGACTTTATATAAAAAGTTATTGTTCAAGTACAAATAAGTGGATTATTGCGGAACTTTATGGGTGGACCTCTGTGGAACGAGCGCAGCGAGTTCCGCAGCCATCTACTCACCAATATAAGCACTGTTCACCTAAAACTTGTAGTTTTTGAACTAATGATAATAACTGACATTTGAGTGAGTCAGGTTAGTATCGTACTTGAACAACGTATATTAATGAATAGATGACTGCGGAACTCGCTGCGCTCGTCCCGCAGAGGTCTACCCATAAATTCCGCAACAATCCACTTATTTGTACTTGAATAACTTGTCACACTATGTTACTATTTTGGTAAAGTAACATTAATAATTCTTGTTGAAAGGCAAATTGACAAAAAGTGAATAATCTCACAAATTCTGACTTTATATAATAAGTTATTGTTCAAGTACATACAATGTAACACAAATAGGTAAGCTTGTGACGCAGTGGTATGCTACGTATAGTAATTTTTCAAAATTGTTGCAATGGTAACTTAATCAGAAAGACGTGATCTACATTACATACCCCTTTATTGAGGGGAAAGGTTTAGAACCCACAAAATAGAACATTCGTTACGCCAACATAAGTTAGTTCGCCCTCTTTAAAGTAGTCATTTCGGCCTCAAGAAGTCGCAAGCTTTATTATAAATTTGATCATACGTACCAATGGTGTTCTATAAGGTGGTTCCGATACAGTCAAGTATCCTCCAGTACCATGATAAGCAGTTTTAGCCAAGTAGGGATTCTGATTATCTTCGCTCTTCTTGAAATAATACAATGCATCCTGTGAGCCCCATCCAGGGTTACCCAAAGACTCCCATATATCGTAATCCTTTTTGTTACCTCTCAGATAAAGCATGTAATTGAGTACTGATGAACCACCAATGACTTTGCCTCTTGGCCAATTACATCTTCCATTGGTCATACCTAAACACAAAAAGGATGGGAATCTATGATAGATAAGATCACAAAATACTCACCTAAACATGCTTGTCCTTGTGGTTCGCTCTTATACTGCCAGTCTAGCTGTGATAATTGAAGGTACCCGGCCATCAAAGGTACATCTGATATCTCTGTTTCGTCTCCGCCGGCCTCCAGTAACAGAATTTTCCATTGTTCGATTTCACTTAATCTGTTCGCTACTACTGCTCCTATATAAAAACAAATTATGTTCTTGAAAAAACGTCAAAGTGATCAACCCCTACTTCCTCAAATAGCTCCCATGAGTCTGTAGTGATAATTCAACTTGACGCTGTGCAATTATGATATCAGTTGTAAGTTCACAAATAAAACTAAAGTTAAGGATTCTTACCGGCTGATCCTGCTCCAACCACTATAAAGTCGTAACTATCAAGTAAATCCGTCGTTGGTACATCGATCGGCCTGGATTCAGGATCGAGAAGATCGTACTGGAAATAGGCTATCGCAGCTACCAGGGCCGGTATGAAAACTCCCAAATTTGAAGCTGTAGCTGCCGCTGTGGCCCCGAATTCGAGAAAGTTCGCCGTCAGCGTACTCATAACTGAAATATTAATGAAATATTATTAAAACACACAATAATAAACACGCACAATTTTTTTGAAAAGTGTTCACTCACTTTTACTAATCCATATCATCCTGCAAGGATGAGTGCCTACTTACTACTAATAAATAAAAAAACGATTAATGTAATGTTACCCTATAAATTCGATTTTCTTGCAAGATTTTTCATTGGGAATTCCAGTCACATATTTTTTTTTATTTCACTTTCTATTTCAGGCGTCGCTTATGGGTAAACGTTCGGCACGACACCGTTTTCTAGAAGCAAATATCTTTTTTTTTTTGAAAATAATCACCAATCTGAGTGATTGTTTTATTCCGATAAGACCCTACCAGAAGAACTTTTTCATAACGTATGACGTAGATTCAGGTGGATCTTATTGGATAATATTAAACTAATTTAAAATGATTTAAAAAACAATGAAGCTAAAAACGGAAATAAAAGCAAAGTGGCTGCACTGTATTGAAATTGTTTGATTATCTAATGAATAGTTGATATTTATTTATAAATTTATGCCTTCTTAATTTCTTGTTGGTACCCTTCAGGTTTTTCATTTAGTATTTTATTGATTTTTTTTTTTTTTGTATTTTGTCTTCCCATCATGTTTTTTTTTTGTCTCTTAAGAAGTCTTTTTTTTCTCAAAAATTCTGCCAGAGATTTAATTTGTAAGTTCTGGATTGTTTTATTTCTTCATTCTACTTTTTTTTTTGTCTTCATTTGCACTTCCGCCTATTGAAAATTCATTTGTAGATATTTCATAGCTCTCCAGACCAAAAACGGTTCCAACAGTACACAATGGCAAACAAGTGGAATAGTGACAAGTATAGAGGCTGAATGATGATGGATAAAGGGTAGGCAAAAAAAGTATAGAAGCAATATTTTCATGTACTCAAATCCTTCTGCATGAAAAATGGCACGTAGTCCACCCAGCAAAAACAAATTCTATTACATTTTTGATAGTGGGCTCTACTAGAAATTCTTGCGAGGTCAAAAAAGTAGTACAGCGAAAGAACGGTACCGGAATAAGTAATCAATAGGTATACATAATAGACGTGCAATCTATGACGATTTTTGACACGTTAATAACATTAGGTAGGTATCCTAGTGTCTGGGAAAATGAAATCAAACCCACATAAAAAGATCGAAATTGTTCTACCAAGAAAATAGGAAGGACCCCGCACACCTCTTATGGGTTTTTGGTTTTCTGTGAAACTCAATGAAATTTTGATATGTGTTAGACCTTGACTCCCCGATGAAAAGTTCTCATGGGCCCGAACCAATCTTATGATTAGTTTTTGAGATACAGGTACTTTAATGTCCAAGAAATGTACACATTTTATATGTATTCACATCTACCTGTCGCCTAATAATAGGTCTGTTTCTGCAAAAATCACAAACCTGTTAGAGCGAATTTGATTGGTCGAAAACAGTCAGAAACAGTCGGAAAACTAGTTTCAACCAATGAAATTCACTCTGACAGACCCATTAATAGGTTACAGATAGATGTGAATGCATATAAAATGTGTACATTTCTTGGACATTAAACCACCTGTATTTCGGAAACTATTCATAGTATCGGATTGGGCCTATGAGAACTTTTTATCAGTAAGTCAAAATATACCACCTATCAAAATTTCATTGAGTTTGACAGAAAACCAAAAACCCATAAGAGGTGTGCGGGGTCCTTTACTATTTAATGTAATTAATGTCATACAGGCTTTAGGAAGTTCTGATGTTTTCTTTGCGTTCCATTATTTATTTATTCAATATCCTCTACATCTTGCATTTACAGAAAATGTCTAAGACTACAAACTACCCAACAGCCCTAACAGCCTAAACTACTTTGTACCTCCTTCTTAAATATAATTATTTTACTCTGAAAGATATCACAACTTCTTTCATTAATTATATGCCACATTCTTACTATAGGTGAGGTAGACTGCCTATTTGTTCTAGGTCCTAGAACAAATAGGCAGTCTAGGTGTATCATAAGTTAATATATGTGACTGTCTAGTTCTCAAATATGGTACGCTTTTACTTTTTAGGCTCAACAAATATTTATCCTTCTCATGATAATGAAGAATTTTATACAAAAACATTGCATTAAAATATTTTCTTCTTCCGTCTAACCTAGTATAACCATGTTGGATACATAACACATCATATGGTACATCAACTGGATAAACCCCGAATCTCTTGAAGTGTAATCTTTTCAAATTTTTTTTTTGACAATTATCTATTATTGCATTGATCGACCTCTGATAACATGGGTCCCATACAACTGATGCGTATTCTAGCTAATGAATCATATAAAAGTTTGACTGTAGAAATGCCCATATCTTTTGTGTTACGATAGATAAACCCTATACAGTGTCATTACTTAAGTGTGCAACATATGGGATTTTTGTTTTAGTAATAGCATAATCAAAATACAAACAAGGCCGAAAGTTGGTGCATGTCTGATAATCATATTAGGTGCACTTAGAATGGTTGCAAGTCAAACAGCATACAGGGTGGCTCAAAAAATATCAAAATTCTACTAATATTTACTTGAATAAAATAAAACTTTTGCACTTTAAGTAGAGTTTTTTTTTAAAATGGCTATTATCATTAGTAATGTTTTAACTTGTTGAAAAAAAAATTGCGACGTTTTAAAGTTGTGTTGAATATCATTGCAACAAACATGAATTTTGTGATTCCATAAAAAATTAAAAATCTAAGTTAATTTTACAAATATGCTTGAATTTGAACAAAGGGATGTAAAATTGATTTGATTTTAATTAATTTTTGAAAGTATTAAGGGCGGAAATAAAAAATAAAAAAGATAGAAATTATAGATTTTTTTCGAAATAAAATTAAAAAAATCTTAGGAGGCTATGTTTTGGTATTTAGGCATAACTTTTAATTCCAAACAACTTTTCTCTATAACATTTTGCTGAATTTTCTAAAATAAGGGTACTTTACAGTACAGCTTTGATATTGTTTGAGCTACCCTGTATGCTGTTTCACTTGCAACCATTCTAAGTGCACCTAATATGATTATCAGACATGCACCAACTTTTGGCTTTGTTTGTATTTGGGTTGTGCTATTACTTAAAAAAAAATCCCCATATGGCTGCGCCGTCGTGCTCGAAAAATCGCGCGTTTTAAAGGCCTTAATATCCACTTATACTTTAATATACTATTACATCCATAAGAAATAAACATTTTATTATGAAATCTTGTATCCTTCTTTTTTCCGTTTTTTAGCAGGTGTTTTTTTTGAGAGTTGAATCTCGTTTTCACTATCCACAGGATTGCTAATTTTAATAAGGCGTACGTTCGGCAATTTTCGAGCCGGCAGCTGGTCTGCGAGTGACATCACCACTATCAGCAGCTGATAGTGGAAATAGACCGTCAGATAGTGACATATTTAGGTGCCCCATTTTCGCCTACAAGCCTCGAAGAGGGTTGAAAAGTACATCGATTTTGAGTAGGATGAAGGTATTTTTACGAGTGGCTCCTGGGGATAACGTATGGAAAATTCGATTTTCCATAACAGAAATGGAAGACGTCCTGGTGCCCATATTTTCTCGTAAGCCGTGTTCACCAAAGAATTACTTAATTAAACCTGGCTTCGTAAAACAAAGAAGGGAGTGTTGCAGGTGACTAAAGGTTTGAAATAAGGGCGTAATCTTGTAAGGAAAAATCGAGATTTTGGGCGATTATTCCACACAAGCCCATCGGAAGGATGAAAATCTACAACGTCGCTGGCAAGAAAGCATATTGGCTTGAGTGTCGCAAATGGAAAATTACATTTAAGGGTGACATAAGTAAAATCGAATTTTCCCGGTGTTATCCCCAGGAATCACACCAAATGGTGCACCTAAATCTGTCACCATCTGACGGTCTATAACGGCACCCGCAGACCTCGATGGATTACTTGCGATTCAGGCTGAGCTTGTGAGTTAATGTTTTTGGGAATTTTAAATTTAGAAAAGGTTTCAACGTTCATATGACTTCGTTTGAGAGTTGAGGTCTGCAGCTGACGTCACAAATAGTGGGGTCTAGTGGATTTGGCGGACATTTTCAGCTCAATAAGCAGTCCTAGGTTAAGTGTTCTTGGGCGTGCATGTACTAGGAACGGCGTAACATAACTAAATATTGTATAGTAGATTTTTATTTTGATTATTTTCGATTACATTATATTTGATTATTGATTTGTATTAGGTACTACAGAGAGAATTTGTAAGAACTGCTACCTTATTCGTGAGATCGTGAAATTCTGGCCAAAATCGTGTAATCTTACGAATAGTCGTGATATCTGGCAACACTGCTCGTAACCGGGAAATAGCGTTCTGAAGAGAGAACAATTTCTGTGTCTTTGTCAGTATTATGGAAATAACAATATGGGCGACTAAGACAGAGCAAATCTTTCTCTTGAGAACGTTGTTCTCCGGTTAAGAGAATACGGGAGCAGTTTTGCTGTTGATAAATTTGAAAAAGTCTAAGTTATTCTCTTTTATCCTTTCCTCCAACTTGTGCATGTAAAATTGCTTTCCCCGTTCAATCTATATTTTCAGAGCATTTCTTATATTATCAAAATCAGTCTGGACAATTAGCCTATCCAAAACACGTGACTTTGACAAGCAAACAAAGGGTTTGTGCAATGAACTATAACCAAAAACTGGAATGCGAACACATATTGACGAACGTGAAGCCTAGTGCCGCTGCTGCGGAAGGGATACCTGTTTTTGTCGCACTCGTTATGTTAAATGGCGGAAATTGCTTCCAACACGTATTCCAATTGATGAAACCTGTGAAGGTAAATATGACAAAACTTTCCAAAGCGTCATATTTCAGCGAGAAACAGAAAAAAACAACATTCCCCTTTGTGGCATCTGTCTTTCATGGCTACATTTTATGGCAGATATGGCAATGTGTGCGCATTCCAGTTTTTGACTATAGTTCATTGGGTTTGTGTGCCTCTTGGCGGACATTTTAATTTAAGTTTGACAGCACCTTGAATAGTCAGCCTATCCAAAACACGTGACTTTGACAAGCAAACAAAGGATTTGTGTGCCTCTTGTCGGACATTTTAATTTAAGTTTGACAGCATCTTGGATAGTCTAATAAATAGTCCTTCAAACGCTTTGTTTGTCCCCCCAACGAAAGTGAGGTTGTTTGTGTGACGTCAGCTAGTGCCTAATTCACAATACCAGTTTTCAGAAATAGCCGCCTATTTCTAGTTCTGGCTTTAATATCATAGATTATCTCACCATTGAACCATGGTAAGATAATCTAATTTTTTTTTACATCATAAATCCTATGATGTAAAAAAAAGATATAGCCTCATTGGCTCTATCACACCGCTAAAGAATATTCCAATCCACCTCCATCCAAAGTTGATACATCATTCTGAAATTTTGTTTTTTGAAATTATATTGTGCATGCAGGTGCACTATGACCAGCAGTGGATTATCAACTTTCACAAGAGTTTCCTCTGACTTCCACATTTTACAACTTACATTGGAGACTTATAAATCTAGTATTTTACCATTTCCATTCACTATATCATCAAATTACTGAAAACCTGTGAAATCCAAAAAGTAATTGAACATTTTTGTTATTGGGTGTTGACAATCATCCAGATGCGGTACATTCAAGTCACCAATTAATATATAGTTCCTATTGAAATCGTTTGATATGATTTTATCTTCAAACACTTCAAAAATATCCTCGCACACTGCTGTAGCATTTCCAGGCGGAATGTCAAATACACAGATTGTAAACATTACTCCATACAAAACAGTTTCACAAAGTAAAATGTCTACATAGATCTGGAACACTATAGTCTATGGTTCTTTCCTCAAATTCTATGTGTTTGCAGTTTCTGATAAGTAGCATTAAACCACCTCCATGTCTTTCCCGTTTTCTGTCGGTCTCTGTAAACCCAGACGATCAAATTACATTTTTCTGCATTTGACAAGAAATGTCAGCTTTTTTGACCGGTTGACAGGTCGCAAAACTCAATATTCTGGTATTTTAATTATGTTTCAATAGTTGCTAAGGAATCAATGAATAACAATACGAGAATCCCTTTTCCGGCCTAGGCCGGGAAAGTGATTCTTGTACTGCTGAATAATTGGAACAAAAAGACAAACATTTAACAGATATTTAACCAATCGCAGAAAAAATAGTATGTGTATTTCGGTGGAAAAGCACATTCTCGGCCTTCGCTTCGGTGTATGCCGGCCTCGGCTACGCCTCGCCCGTCAACTTACACCGTCGGCCGGGAATGTGTCACTTTTCCACCTAAATACACAATATACTATTCTCGAATCGATAATTATAAATTAACACATTGCGTGCCACGCTATTATCGGGAAAATGCCCCCAGGGGCCAAACCACTTTTTGCAATATTTGTATGTATTTACTCTCAAATATGATCAACGTTTCTTTTTTTTTGCTTTTGCCGGCAAGAGAGATATTCTCATTTTGTTTTTAGAATAAGCTATTGCAGAATAAATTTTGTTTTATTATTACGTAAAATCAGCTATTTCAGAATAAAATTTTATGTTTTTAATAGGCAAAATCAATATTTTTCAAAAATTTTGTTGTAGTGAATTTATTTTCCCAATTTTGCTCAAACCAAGACTCATATTATTTTTCCCAGAGGCCAAGCTTCGGATTCTTCATTTAAAATACACAGTAGCGGGTATCATATTTGATATACAGGGTGGCCATTTGAAAACGAAACAGAGGTGATTTTGGGCTCCCCAAGACATTTAAGAAAAAACCCTCGTACCCGTCGATTTTTGATTTAAGGGGGAACCATGTTTCTGGTGGTTTCATCCCCTAGGGGGCAAAGCCCTAGCGGGGGTGACAAGGGCCCCCAAAATTTTAAATGGAATGAGGGGTCGAGTGATACCTTATTTTGAAGATATTTTTATGTAGATTATAACCCCCGAGTCTCACATCGTTACTATCTACCTAGCCATTACAGGGGCTAATTAAAGTTACAAAAACATGTTAGAATATTTTTATTTAAAAAAATGCTTTAAAAACAAAATCAATCAAGTAAATGCTGAAAATGACCTCAGAAGAAAAAATCTAACGGGCTTAAATCTGGAGAACGCGGGGGCCTCTCCTTCGAATCCATTGTCCTGGAAACCTTTGGTCCAAATATTGACGAATCACTGCAGCATAGTGGGGTGGCGCACCATTTTGTTGAAATATTAGACGGTTTTCCATGTATCCGTTATCATTCTCTAGTATCTTCACCAATTCTGGATGAATCGCATCTTCTTATCACTCTAGGTACATTGCTCCTGTTAAATTTATAGGTAAAGAAGGGGTCTATTATACGGTTACCAAAAATGCTAGCCTAAACACTCAATTTCTCGGGATGTTGCGTATGTACCTCACGAAATATGTTTTCTGGGATTTGAATTAGCCCAATAGCGGCAGTTGAGACGATTCACCGTACCGTTCAAGAAAAAAGGAGCATTCATCAGAGAAATATACAAACTGCTGCTCCATTTATTGAAAAAAAATAATTGGGTTATGAGTTTTTCAATGGTGAGGGAGGTGGAAATAAAACGAAAAAGGGGGTTAGTAGCACATCAACCAAAATACCATTTAATTATACTCCATTATTTAATACAATTTTTTTATATTCAATACAATATTTATTTAATACAATATTTCCAGGTATACATACAATATTTTCAGGTATAATACGTACGAAATAACGTCCTAGGGCATTATGGAGATGTAGATTATTTGAGTGTTTGGGCTAGCATTTTTGATAACCGTAAATAGGCCCCTTTCTTACCTATAAATTTAACAGGAGACATGTACCTAGAGTGGTTAGGAGTTGCGATTCATCCAGAATTGGTGGAGATACTAGAGAATGATAACAGATGCATACACTAATATTCCAACAAGATTGTGCGTCATCCCATTATGCTGCAGTGGCTCGTCAATATTGAGTGGCCCCCGCGTTCTCCAGATTTAAGCCCGTTAGATTTTTTCTTCTGAGGTCATTTTCAGCATTTACTTGATTGATTTTGTTTTAAAAGCATTTTTTTAAATAAAAATATTCCAACATGTTTTTGTAACTTTAATTAGCCCCTGTAATGGCTAGGTAGATAGTAGCGATGTGAGACTCGGGGGTTATAATCTACATAAAAATAGCTTCAAAATAAGGTATCACTCGACCCCTCATTCCATTTTAAATTTTGGGGGCCCTTGTCACCCCCGCTAGGGCTTTGCCCCCCAGGGGGTGAAAACACCAAAAAAATGGTTCCCCCTTAAATCAAAAATTGACGGGTACGAGGGTTTTTTCTTAAATGTCTTGGGGAGCCCGAAATCACCTCTGTTTCGTTTTCAATTGGCCACCCTGTACATGGCCAGAAAGTGAGAGATGTGTGTCTCTCAGAAATGAGCGACGAAGCCCTCGGTGAAATGTAATAATTTGCAAATGATGATATTTTCTAAACTAATTTATAGATCCAGTTCCAGCAGAAATCAGTCAGATTCCTGAGATATCACCATTAATAATTTACATATAGGTATTGTTTTCTGAGGTTTATTATCACTGACTTTTATGATTGGACATGACATGGAAAATCTTTCTATTCCAGTTTTTAGTATTGCGTTTAAATAAGTCTCACTTTCGCTATCACAAACCTGTTGAAGGAGGCAATTTATTTTGTTCATGATGGTTCTGGAAAAACTAACTCGAAATCAGCATTTCCATTAACTCTTTCATATTTGTCAATTTGTGCCTAATTTGAAAATATCCCTTGGAAAACTATTTCTATCTTCATCAGAAGGGCTGAACTGATCTAATGCTAGTCTTAGAGTGGCAACTTAGAATCAACCAAACAAAAATAAAGCGAATAAAAATTGAATATATTTCTGATATCTTGAGTAACGATAACAACTTGTTTGCAAACATCGGTGAACTTGTTTAAAGCTCCCAAGGACTATAATCTGGATACTTATTGCAAATAGATAAACATAAATATTTTGCCAATTTAAAACCTTATTTACTTAGAAGCTAATAATAAGATTATTTTTTTACCTTATAAATAGTAAGAATCAGCTATAATTGTTTACAAAAATTCACAAACTACACACTTAAACTTCTTCCAAGTAACCGGCATTATAGCTTATTTCATTTCACGAACTATTCAACAAAAAATTTCGCGTCTCATTACAATTTAAAACTGTACATCGACACACTTGGCTAATGATCCTTAATAATAATCCAAATAATCATGAGACGAAAACTGAAAATGCTCTTGAACTTGACCAGTAGTCGCTAGATTCAAAAACAAAAGCAAACGCGCGTTTGTTACTAAAGAAATGGAAGAAAGAAAATATCTTTTACTATCTCTTGGTCCGATCATTGACGGTGGTCATGAATGTTAATAAAGAAGAGGTAAGCGTATAGCTGTACTTTATACCAGGTCAATGAGAGAAGAACAACGATTGTTTTAAAAGGAAACAAAAAGTAACAGTGGTTAACCGTTTTGATAACCACGGTAATTATATTTAGTTTTTATTATTAGATTAGATGATGTTCCAATATGCATATTTCAAATAACATAAGAACTACCTTGTTAATATTCCCTTCATCTTTTCAGTTTTGGAACTTCTTTCTGCAGAATTCCCTTGCTTAACGTGGAAGGTTTTTTTTACTAAGCCTTTGCTGAGATGATGTTGAACAGATGTTAAGCATATTAGGGTATTGTGTTCCATTTAGGTCAGAATCTCCAACATTGATAAACACTTAATAGACCTCCTCCTATGGACGAGGGGGGGCCTTCCTTTGGATTTAGATTTTTAAAAACTTAGAAAAATCATAACTCCAGTTGTATCATAGATAGCGGACAGATTTCGGCTTCAAATCTCAGAATAATAATTGTGACAAAATTGAGATGTTATGTATTGATATTTTGGTAGCGTGAATAATTCTGTCACATCTTAAAATTTCATGGCAAATTATGCTGAAAAGTAAATTTGATTTGAGTAGTAAATAACAGTTTTCTGAACCGGAGGCAATCTGAACGAAGTCTTCTTTCTTCTGTTCTTGGAGTCGTTATTGAAAGGTGTTAATAGACACTGAAAATTAATACCACTTACCACTTTTCTGCTGAAGCTGGAAATACCTCCAACCGCACAAACCGGCATGTAAGATCTTTTTTACGCCACCACCAGTGTTTTAATAGGGATTTTAAAACCAGAAAAGAAAAGACTAATTTTGAAAGATTGAAATTAATTTATTAAAGAGTGAAAAGAAAAGTTAGTTACTATCATCTCCACCCTCTTAGCTTTCAGCGATTCGCTGAAAGTACCCCTTGGTTTCTTGCCGTGGGCAGTTTGATGGCTCTCCAACAGAGTTCGCTACTTACATGTTGTCAAATTATTAATTGAACATTTACTGTTTTCCCTTTCAACTGAAAATCTTTCCCTTTTCTAATTACCTAATTAAATGTAAAAAATAAAGGTTCCCCTAATTCTAACCTAATTATCAAGGGTGTGAAATGATCTAAACTCTCTAATGAACTAAAATCTCTACTAATATACACAGTGTGTAAAAAGTCCCGGAACAGTCAATTATTTTGAAAATGGTGCACAATATAAAAAAACTTCGTGTATAAAAGTTGAAGGTCTTAATAAAATCTATTGAAATAGGACTTTTGTAATTATACAGGGTGGCCCAAAAAGTTGTGCTACACAAAACTTCATTTTTTTTAAATGAAATAATCCTTTTTTAATTACATTTTCTAATTCCTCTAGAGATTCTTAACAACAATTATGAAACATGTCATATGGCTAAACCCATTAGTTTCAGAAATAATTAAATTTGAGTTGAATGACATAAATACGATAAGTACGATATTACCTACATTTTGCATTGTTTCGAGTTGGTTCAAAATATTTCAAGTTTGACAATGGACTAGGTTATGATAAAATTTATTGATGACGTTTTGTAACATTTCTTGGTTAATAGATGCACATTCTTCAATAATTCTTCTTCTCAATTCGTTCAGATCTGGAGGTTTTGTCAAAAACACTTTATTTTTCAGATGTTTCCAAAGAAAATAATCAAGGGGCGTTAGGTCTGGTGACCATTTTGAACCAACTCGAAACAATGCAAAATGTAGGTAATATCGTACTTATCGTATTTATGTCCTTCAACTCAAATTATTTCTGGAACTAATAGGTTTAGCCATATGACATGTTTCATAATTGTTGTTTAGAATCTCTAGAGGAATTAGAAAATGTAATTAAAAACGGATCATTCCATTAAAAAAAAATTAAGTTTTGTGTTGCACAACTTTTTGGGCCACCCTGTATAAATACATAAGTCCTATTTCAATAAATTTTATTAAGACCTTCAACTTTTATACAGGAAGTTTTTTTATATTGTGCACTATTTTCAAAATAATTGACTGTTCCGGGACTTTTTACACACTGTGTATAATAATAAAATAATTGAGTAATTACTCCTATCTTAATCTATTTATCTTAATTATAACTAAGCATTTGACTATAGTAATAACCCTTGATAATTATATTATTATAATACAATTGGTTATTGCATCTTAAAAATCCAGCTCATGTAATTATTGTTTCACTACACACACAAATGCTTCGAATATAATATATCATTCTTTACAACGCTATCGATAATTGGATCTGGATTCGTTATAAAACGTGGGTCAGAGATTATTCTTGACTTTGAATAAATTATTACAACCACATGGGTATGGTTTAGTCGAGATAGTTTAAAGTTTAGTGTTTATTTCGGAAAACATAAATTTTGCCTATATATTTGTCAATTTTGGATTACAGCAATAATAATCTTGAAGCTATAAAATTCGATACTTTTCTGGCTCAAGTGCTTTTTACCCTCGAACAGATTAGGCCTTTCGCAGAACTCCGTGTATTTGTAAATTTCATCATAGGGTCACATTTTAGCTATCTATAAAAATAAAACTTTTCCCACGAATAATGTTCAAGGAGCACACGAAGCTAGATAAAAGTGAATAGCAAAATCGTTGGTGCAATCAGCTCTAAGAATAACAAAACAAGATAAATACACCCTCACAGAAAAATTCACCATCCTTTTTGACTACTACTTTTCCATCAACCTTTGTAAGATAATGAAAACAAGATTCGTTTTCCGATATACTTACAATGCGAAAAGTTAACATGTAACTTTCTCTCGCTCGTTTCCTCAGAATGCAGGCGCTAATTATTGATGCTAACAAGATTCATTTTATGATCGAAATGAGATTTATATGTATCACATCGATGGGTGCAAATTAAGATTTGGAAAAAAAAAGTGAATTTCTATGATATACTTATGTACCTATCTATAGACTAAGGATTTTGAAATAATTCCGATTTTTTTCCGTTCTTCTTGCTTTCTTTGTCAACTACATGCTTTCCTACTATGTCATACTCAAGATATCTGAGACAGGTCACGTACTACATCAAATTCCTTTCAACTTAGGCTTCTAATGAAGAATTTCTATTGCATAGACAATTTTTTACTTCATTGGTCAATACACAAAAAATAATATGTACTTAGAAATAAGCGATATCTTTATTAACTTAAGGAATCTCTACGTCAGTAAAAACTTTTAGGTACTTGTTGCTTCATAAATTTATTAATTCGTAGATCACTGAAACCAAATTAATTTTTCTTTCCAGGCGGTTGTTGTGGATCAACCAAACGCGTAACAACAGTAGGAGGTTGGTCATGGGCCTGGTGGCTGGTCACAGACGTCCAAAGGCTCTCCTTGGAAGTGATGACGTTGAATCCGCAATGCGAGAGCGTAGAAACGTCCCAAGGGGTACCACTGAGCGTCACGGGGGTGGCCCAGTGTAAAATCATGAAGGCCGACGAACTGCTTCATACTGCCAGCGAACAATTTTTGGGCAAGACTGTTAAGGAAATCAAGAGTACGATTTTGCAGACTCTGGAGGGTCATTTGAGAGCTATTCTAGGTAAGGAATTATATTTTTTCAATGCTGATTTATATAGGAATTTGAGGTGGTTGGGGTTGATTGAAGCAAGCTCGTAATATTTCGAAAATTATGTAATAAATAATAATACTTGTTAATTCAAATAACTCTTAATTAGAATCACATATTCAATTCTTCCAGTGTCCCAGTGTTCTTCTTGTTTGAGATTTTTTCAACCAGCTTTTGCATCTTTTCTGCCTCGTGTACTTGTAGGTATTGTCGCCTCCTAAATTATAAAATTAATAAATAGACATTCGAGGTTTAAAAGAAATGTTTTATGTATGTCAATTTTGATCCAGAATCAGTTTGATCCCATGTCTAGGTTCGGCGCTATATTAGGGTGATAAATGTGTGGCGGAACTAACTATTGCCCCTTTTTGGGCTTTAGTCAAACCGCACCAGGGATGCCAAAAGTTTTTACTTTGACTGACTGTAAAAATGAACCACTAGGTATTGGATCATTTAAGCCTTGTATTGGGTTAGGGGTTGCCTTGATTCTCATTTATACAAATAAAACGCTGAAATAGAACAATTATCAATTTAATTAATAAATTAAAGTAATTCGGTATAGTCAGCAATCAAATCCTATCTAAAAATTCCTAATTGAACTACAAATTTTATACTAATCTAAAGTAAATGAGTATCTTGATTTATAAAGGGTAAGAAAATCTGATAATGATAATTACATCATTTATGGTTAAATGTTCAATGAACGAGAACACAAATTAACTCATTAAATGCACGAGAGCACAACATAAATAATTCGTCAACTCCAGTCAGTTCACTGTAATCACAAAATGTTTATTGATCCTTGAAAGTTCTTTTATTTATTGAGAGTTAACAATTTGAGCACTTTTCTGGGGACGTGTGTAAACAATATGTGCAAGAAAAGTCTTTATATATGCTCAGTTTCTATATACAAATATACAAATGTTAATTTCACGAGTGTGAAGACCAAATTTCTGCATTTCAAGCGAATCACTAATCAGTATTTATTGTTCGACTGTTAGAGAAATTGTAACGGTCTTACTTGCTTAATCCGGTTCATGCAGATAAATCCACAAGGCCATTTATCACTATTCACACTGGCAGCTAGGGAATTTTCCACTGAGATGAAAACGATATACAGGCGCGTTTGAGCCCGTCGAGAGTGAGAGAGAGCCAAAAGACAAGCGCGTACGAGAGAATTTTGCTCGTCTGAGGTGATTTGCAACAATTAGGGGTTAATTACATGAATTGTAATCAATAATATAGACAAAGTCAGGTCTTGAGACACAGAGAGTAGTATAAATCGCGCGTACTAACGGGGGTTTTTGGCGGTTTTGCTTCTAAAGAGCATTCAGAGGGCGCGAGGGTGAGAACTCTTCGCTTATTCTAATATTACTTAAGAATGTGCGTCGACTAGCTCTGCCAGGGAGCAGGTCACAAAAAACTAGGGATTTTGTGTGGCGGCTGACCAATCACAGCGGCGAAACAGGTTCACTACCTTATAAGGTAATGAAAAAACCTGCAATTTTACCGGTTCAAAGGGTTGTTGTTGCCGGTTTTACAGGATAAATAGTCCAGGAATAGCATCTATTTTAGAATATAATAGAAATTGAGATATGTTAAATTAGAAATAATAAAAATTAAACCTGTTGTGGGTTATTTCCACAACAAAATGATCTAAATACCCATAATATTAAAAATATGTATGGTTTCTTAATACATAAAGTTAAAGTAGACGTAACTATTTTACCTAATTATAGTGTACAATTCCCAATTTTTTTCCAAGTCACAAAAAGGTAAAATATAACTTAAATGTAACGCATGATGTCATGCACAAAAAGATGTAAAATTTATATCACATTGATGTAAACCATATTCTGTAACAAAGTTTTGCATTTTTGGTCCTGGAAAATGTTGATCATCCGACATTGCCTCACAAAATCGCTCATAACTCAATTAATATTCCACAAATTCTGATGCAAATTCATACATTCTTAATCAAAATTAAATGCTCTTTAAAATAAAACAAATTTGAATAATTTATCTCAAATAGTTTTCGAGATGTTGAGCCTCAAAGTTGAAACTCTGTCTGAAATTTCGGAAAACCTTCAAAGCCGATAATCTCGAAAACAAAGCCTCAGAGCTCGGTGCCCCAAATAACCTTTTTTGAAGTCCCAATCAAGATCTACAATTAGACAAAATTTCGTGCCGATAGTTTCTCTGGTTTCCAAAATATGGATTTCTGGGTAAAATAATTGAAATTTTAATTCAAAAATGCCATTTATCACCATCTAGCACCGAAACTAATCATAGGATTGATCCATTCTCAAATTTTTGTTGATTTTGACTTGTTGCCGCTTTGTGTCACAACTACTTAGAACCATTATAAAGAAAACTTAAATTTTACCTTGAAAATGCTGTAATTCCCAGCATAAGACCAACTCCTACCAAAGGGACCCAAACAAAATACATTTTCCCACTTTACACTGATATGAAAAATTAATTCCTATTTTCGTCGCTGCTCTTATAACATCGTGGCATCGATTAAAGTTGTAATTTAAAAAGATTGCTTTATTAACATTCAAGGCAGCCAAAAATTAAGCTGATTTATATGAATAAGTAGGTACCTGCGGTACTTATGGTCTTATCTCTGAAAATTAGATTATCTTTTCGGCAAAAATAACTTTGTGATATTAGGAAATTACTTTTTTATGTAGTTACCTGTTGAATGATAAACTCTCATGTAATCTATTGCAGATTTTGGTAATATTTCTGTAGAAAAAAGACTGTTGTTTTCTGACTCATAGCGATTTTTGTTCAAAGAAGTTTCATCATGAACTAGGATTCCGTATACCTAATTTAAATGTCTCTATTTGATGATCTGGGCCCAGATTCTGAACCTACGATTCGATGGTATCGTCCATATAATATAGATACACGATACTATTGTATCGTGGGTTCGGAATCCGAGCCCTGATTGTAAAAATAGTTACAAAACCTCATACGAACATATTATTTGAAACTTGAAACCTTATTGAAAGTCGTTGAGTTGGCATAAAAAAAAAGTCTTTACGTTGCATAATGTTCAAAGCAAGTTGAAGTAACTTTTGAACCAAAATTTCAAAAGTACAGAATTTTGAGAACACCAGCTGATCTTATTTAGTAATTTCCTCGTTATCTAAATTGCCGATTTCAAGACTTATAAAGGTCATAACAAGTATGCGCGTCAGACTTAACTACTTATAGACGTAATTATTTTCATTGTGATATATTGCATTTTGTGTCGTAATTTCGAAAATTGTGTTTCACTTGTCTTGAAATTTTCCATTTAATCTAACATTTAACAATTGTTTTGTTATTCTAATCTCTAGGGCCTTAGATAATGGGAAATGAGTTACAATTCCTCATTTGAATTTGAATACAACTTTAGATTAGAAACAAGCAAGACCATATGTATTTTATACAGCTTTATTAGTAATTTTCATAACGGGACAACATCTTTCCAGATGTAATTTTAATTTAAATCTCCCCTTTTCAATTAATTTGTTGCTTTAATCTATTCTTAGCCTTGGCCTTTAATACTTCAATAATTGAATTATGTAAATAAGATAAAAGAACAAAAAAAAAACGAAAGAAATTTGCTCAGAAGAATTCCTTTTCTTGTCACAGACACGCGTGTCGTCATCGTACTTTCCAAAGGAAATATATAAAGGGGGATTCCGCAAGAATTCCCACCAAAGCAGTGTACACTCTTGACCCAAGTTCAATAAAGCGCATTCTGCCGGCGTTTTGTTAAGAACAATGTACTGTTAACAGTTTGCGAGTTTCGGTTTTCAAAGTTTGTGCGTGTAAACTTTTGGCGGATGAACAAAAATTTTTGAACTTCGTTTGCCATGGAGCTTTTGTGGATGAGCCTTGTCAGCTTAGGTTTGACGCTTGGTACCACTTATGCAGTTGTTGCTAGGTAATTAGTTTGAAATAATAATTATATCAATTATAATTATTGTTTAAACAAAATCAATAATGATGTGAAATTTCTATACATATTTGCATTTTCCTTGCCTATTCTAATGTTGGTACAGACCTTGTTTTTTAGATTGGATCAGCCACGAATATTATACCTAATATACATACTTTACTTTTTAAGAAATCTCGAGATAACTATGAGAAACTAAGCTAATGGAATGTTTCTGAAATACTGTAAAAATCTGAGGTGCTATAGATAGAATTGTGGCAATGTTGCACAACAGGTCATTGAATATATATTTTTTTTCAAAAGTTTAAATTTCAACTTCTACTGTAGCAAACTATAGTAAGTTTTGCCGTAAATATTTTATATGCTTATTGTAGGCCAATGGTTCAATATTAAAAATTAGTGTAGGTACATAATTAGATTTCTAGAGAAAGCGATAAGTTTAAGAAATCTTGCGGTAGGTAGGGTATGCAATAATAATTTCATAAATCAGTATTTCATTTACGTGTACAGTTGCGATAAAAAAAAAGTAGTACAAGAAAGGTCTCCAAAATCTCCTGGTCTATTATACATTGATTTAATTCATAACCAAAAATAATATATTTTTTGCATTTTTCGACAAGTTTTTAACCTAGAAAGTTTCACATGACATTATTTTGACATTTTTCCACCCGTTTTTAACCTAGAATATGTCATTGCCTGTTAAAATTTTGTATGTTACACCGGAAGCTCAAATTGGGGTTAATAATTTTTGTACTACTTTTTTTTAATCGCAACTGTACCTGAGCGTGTGGATACCTGTCAATCCTGGTATAATGGTGACAGATAGATGTGAATGCATATAAAAAGTGTACAGATCGTTTCACCAGGGTTCATACCAGTGGCGGCTCGTGACTAGGCTAAAAAATATAGTAAAAGTATTAAAATCAGTGGACAATGAACAGGTTCGTATAATTCCGGCCCTTCGGGCTTGTATAACCTCGGACCTTCGGGCTCATGATTAAAATAACTCCGGTCTGTC